TAAAGAATGCACAACTTCAACAATACAAACACTTTGAAACTTGACGGACCTTGACTGGAACACGTGAATATTCTGCACAAACTCGAGGCTAACCCTGTGCAAATGAGTCTGTAATCAAAAAACACAGCGGTAATTTGGAATTCGAAACGGGTCTATTCCAAATTACTGCTGTGTTCCTTGATTACAGAATCATTTGCACAGGGTTAGCCTCGTATCAGTGTCTAAATATTCACAACAGTAAAGTAAAGAATGCACAACTTCAACGATAAAAACACTTTGAAACTCGCTGGACCTTGACTGGAACACGTGAATATTCTGCACAAACTCGAGGCTAACGTGTGCAAATGAGTCTGTAATCAAGAAACACAGCGGTAATTTGGAATTCGAAACGGGTCTATTGCGGACGCTCGCTATTACGGACATGAAAAGATGGTCCCGATGGTGTTCGCTGTAACGAGAGTTTCCCGATATTTTTTATTTCACTTCCTCACAAAACGACAAGGTTTTTCACAAAACTCTATTTTGCTTCACGGAATAGCAAACCAACATTAAACACAGACTTGTAAACAAACAATTGTAATGGGTGGCCAGTGGACAATGTAGATGTAAAAAGTTTTAACTGATCTGGTTTCTTTTTTTTTTACAAAGAACTTACAAATTTCTTGCGCGATGATTGGTTATTTTTTTATCATCAATAAGAGGACAGACAGATAAAGCTGACGTCAACGAGCGCGCGCTCTTTCCGTTGGTTGTTTTGATCACTAAAAATCTCAATTCGATCCCGGGAAATCGAGCCTAAGGTTGCATTAGTGACAGTCTGCGCATTAACAGCGCATACCATCCGCGCTTCTATTAAACAAAACGAAAAAAAAAAAAAAAAAAAAAAAAAAAAAAAAGCGACCAAATGGGATTTTCTTGGCTTGGTCTGATAGAGCTCCCTATGGTTTTGGCGGCAACTGTAATGCCAAAATGCGTGCGCGCACACGTAAAATTATTCGATACATCGTATTCGATGAGAATTGTTTCAATCAAAATTGTATGGGGACGGGATTTACAGATGTGAGACAGGTTTTTCAAAGTTCTTATGACTGTTTTACTTTCCATTTGCTTCCGTAGCGGCAATAATCATGGGGTTGGGATTCGGAGGATCCCACGATTATTGAGGGCCGCCATGCAGGCTAACTTTCCATCTTCCTGATTTTGCTTTTCAGGAGCTCAAGATAGAACAATTAAAAGACAAGATAGGTTTAGTTACAAGAGAAAAAGAAGACGCTATGAAGGAAAAAACGCAAATACTTGATGAGGTATTATACGGTATTGATATTGAATACTACTGTACAAAGCTTCAATAAGAGAAAGAACCGAGGGCGCGGGAGAAAAGAGGGTGAATAGAAAAGAACCTGAATGGAAAAGAGGGTGAATGGAAAAGAGAGTGAATGGAAAAGAGGGTGAATGGAAAAGAGAGTGAATGGAAAAGAGAGTGAATGGAAAAGAGGATAAGTGGAAAAGAGGATGAATGGAAAAGAGGGTGAATGGAAAAGAGGGTGAATGGAAAAGAGGGTGAATGGAAAAGAGGGTGAATGGAAAAGAGGGTAAATGGAAAAGAGGGTAAATGGAAAAGAGGGAGAATGGAAAAGAAAGTGAATGGAAAAGAGAGTGAATGGAAAAGAGGGTGAATGGAAAAGAGGGTGAATGGAAAAGAGGATGAATGGAAAAGAGGGAAAATGGAAAAGAGGGAGAATGGAAAAGAGGGAGAATGAAAAAGAGGATGAATGGAAAAGAGGGTGAATGGAAAAGAGGGAGAATGGAAAAGAGGGAGAATGGAAAAGAGGGAGAATGGAAAAGAGGGTGAATGGAAAAGAGGATGAATGGAAAAGAGGGTGAATGGAAAAGAGGATGAATGGAAAAGAGGGTGAATGGAAAAGAGGGTGAATGGAAAAGAGGGTGAATGGAAAAGAGGGTGAATGGAAAAGAGGGTGAATGGAAAA